GGGAAAGAGCCCAAGGCCACCCTGACAGATACGGGCAAATGAGACTGAGCAACGTGGCAGCAGAAATGCACCTAAAGCAACCGAAAAGCTTAATGTCTGGCAGATCACCCACCGGAACGGAGCTTCAACACTGAGGAGCGCCAACGGCCAATCAGCATGCGCGAGTGCGTGCTGGGCAGTCGCCATGGCTGGGCGAACAAGGCCTACCGCTCCTCCGCCCAGCTTCACTCCACTTGAGGCGAAGAGTGCTTACTTGTGATTAGAGAATTCATGATGACATGTGTAGCTTTAGCCTTCACCACCGGGACCTTGTCCACACTGTCAACGGCCGATGACAGGGTCATGGCAGAGGAGGACACGCTGGCCTCTCCTTCCTCCACCTGTTCAGGAAACGTAAGGAAGCACTTGAGCAGGACGGGGGTGTGTGTCATATGCCTTAACACTCCTTTGGGGAAAAAGTCACTGAAATGCCTTTAATCTGGTTAAGTGAAGAAATATTAGATCATCAGGAAAGTCATGCACATTTTTCTATGTAAAAATGTGTCAGGACATTCCTGGCGACCCGATATTTAAAGAGGGGGGTTGGTCACCCTTAGCCAGTTAGGCGGGGGTCGTCCATGACAGCAGCAGGTTAGACAACATGTGACTAGCCTGAACCTGCAGGAAAGCCAGAATCAGAAGCTCTGAGGTCTGTACCTTTCCAGCCTGTCTGTCCAGCACACCAGAGCCCTCTGCCCAAAGAATGCGTAAGAAATGCCACTGCTAAGCACCAGCCACATACCAGGCTCAATGCTAGGTCCCGCTTACCTAATCAGAGCCTCTGCTAAATGGTTCTCAAACTCTGCCAGGCACCAGAATCACCTGGAAGGCTTGTTAGATTGCTGGGTCCCATCCAGAGTTTTTGACCTGGTAGATCCAGGTTGGTGTGGGGCTCAGCACAAGAATTTATCTTCCTAAGAATTCCTGGGTGCTGCTAATGTTGCTGATGCTGAGCCTAACTGAGGACCACTGCCCCTCAGTGTTCAGATAACCCCTCTTCAAAGCTGCAGAGCAATCTGCTTGCTCCTGATTGGCAGCGTCCAGGAGCGGGGGCACCCCTGCTCTGTAATCTGCACCCAACACCACGCACAAGCCAGCAGGGAGCAGAGGACCTGGTTTATCCTGTTCTCTGCCTCCCCAGTGGAAGTGAGATGGTCAGAAAGGAGTGACAGGGCCAGATGGTGACACAGCACTGACACGGCTGGATCCAGGGTCTCCCTGGACTGACTGAGGCCAGGGTGAATTACAGCATGAAAGCCCTGTTGAGTGTCGCTCTCCCACTCTCAAACTTCAAACATAAAAGAAGGACCCAGAAGAAAGTACTGAAACGCTGTACCCCCATTACAGTGAGATTTGGGCGTCTCAGCAGCAACCTGTCTCCTTACTTGGAAGAGTAATGCTGGGTAGCCAGGGCAATTCCAAGAATGCATGTGATGCATCACGCTGAGTGCTCCTTGGAGAGAGTAGCTGTCCCAAGTGGTTAGCTGTCACAGCTGGGACAGAGCAGGACGCTGGAAGCCCCCTCTCTGCCTTGACAGTAGTCAGCAGTTTTCTGAAGCAAAGGGTGTGCTGCCCACAGAGGGCCAGCAGGAGCCCTGCTCTCCACGCTGACCCCGACCCCGACCGCAGCAGGCTGCAGGGTCTTCTCCCAGCCCTTCCCCTACTGGTGCACACTGCCTTCTAACAACGATGGGGTCAGCTTTCAGTAGGCAACCGTGACAGGGATGTCCCCCCAGCATTACAGAGACACCTCGGACAGGAGACCCTGCTCTGGAATACGGTGGGAGGCAGGAGCTTATTAGAGACAGAGGGTCAAACACGGCTCTGCTGAGGGAAGGTGAAACTGAGAGCCAGCGCCCACCACAACCCCCCAGGCCGCCAGCGAGCCAAGCCCTGAAATCCTCTCTAGTTTAACCCTCGCAGCATCGTGATAAAGCGTACCCATCTCAGGGCCAGCCACTGCAGCTCAGGGATCAAGCTGTGAGCCAGGGTCCCTGTGAGTCACAGCCCACCTGTGGAGACCTGTCCTGTGCACTTCCCATCAGGCCCTGCCGTCAGCTCCAAGCTGGGGAAGCTGTCCCTGCAGGTTCGACAGCTTCCCTGCACCTGCCCAGTGGCTCGGGCTGCAGGACACCCTTCTTGTGTCCTTGGGAGCTGCAGTTTGAGGTGAGAGGGACAAACCCCAAAATTAGGAAGCACAGGCTTCCACGACCCCATGGCAGCAGACACTGCAAACGGAGGAAACCGCACTGCACACAAGGGCGATGTCCAGTCTGCGCCTTCAGCAAGGCGGCCCTCTGAGGACGGCAGTGGGAGAAGGGCAGGAGCGGCACGGGGCAGCACGGCAGGTACCCAGAGCCGCTCTCCCCAGTCACAGGGCATGTCTCAGAACCTACACGAGGCCAGGTCCTCTGCTGTACAGATCCCGCAGACTGAGACACACTGTGGCCCCTGCCCTCGTGCAGCGAACAGAGGTGACAGTCACTCACAGGGTCCACGGGACAGGAGAGCCACTCAAAGGGAGAGGGGACAGTCTTACTGGGAGAAAAATCTTCACCAAAGCAGAGTTTGACCTGAGATTTAGAGGAGTCCGTCTATGGAGTAGGGGCAGTAACACGCTGCTAGGTGGAGCCGCATGCTGCAACACGCAGGCACGGAGCACCCTGGGATGCTGAGAGCGCTCACAGAAACCTCACACAGCAAGGGGCTGGGAGAGGCAGACAGGACCTGGAGCATGCAGAACCCAGTCACACTACGGCACTTGATTCAACGCTGGGGACGAGGGCAGGGGCACGGGAGTGTGCGGTAGAAGACACGGCCACTCTGGTTTTGAATTAAAAAGAAAAAAGCACCATCTGTGGCTGAGACAGAAGTCCGTGAAGGGAGTGGCTACTGCTGTCCCTGTGGGAGCAGGACAGAGGCGGGGTGGGTGGCCAGAGCAGTCGGCAGGGGCCGGTACCTGGGCGAGGTGCTGGTACTTGCGCTCTGGGATCACCGGCTTCCAGGGGATGCTGCTCATGTCCGCAGGAGGAGGAGTCATGGGCGCGGTGTCCTCGAGGGCATCGTCATAGCTGAAAGCCCGGCGGCACATCCCGATGGGCAGGGACATCTTGCCTAGAGGCCCACTAGGTTCAAGAGCTAAGACAGAGACACCTGTCAGATGGGTTCAGCAACTGAGAGCCAGCGGCTTTCCAGCACTCTGTGGGGAGGAAAGCCCCCAGCGCTGGGACAGGGACGGGGTGGCGGCTTGCTCTGGAATAGCTAACCCACCCGGTTTTCCCTCCACGCCCACACGTCAGTGTCTCCACAGAACCCGCTCAGCAGCCCTAATCCACTTTAACAGATTAGGACACCTGAAATTCCATTTAAATCTACCTGAGAAGGTCACGCAACCTCAAGTACGGTTTAGAATCAAAACCTAAACCTATCTAATTCCAGAGCTTGTAATCTCTGTGCCACAGACAGCACCCCCACTGCAAAGTTGAAGTTCCCGTTATTGCAAGTCTGAGGATATGACCTGACTGACAATTCGAAGTTCTGGGATTTTCTTTCTTTCTTTTTCTTTTTTAAGTAATTTGCCAGAGAGAGGACCAGGAGGTGGTGTGGTGGTTAAGGTACTAGACACTGCCACATGGCCAACCACGGTTTGAGTCCAAGACCCGGTGGCTTGCTTTCTCTCTTTCTCTCTCTCTCTCTCTCTGTCTCAATTAAATTAAAATAAAATAAAATTAATTAATGAATAAATAAATAATTCTTTAAATAATAATAATAATAACTTGCCAGTGGGCATGTGAGCTTACTGGAGGGAGACAGACTAGGGGGAGTGAGAAAGCATTCCCCATGGGGAATGGTCACGTTGCCGTCCTCCTCCGGCTCTCTCTCCTTCAGGATTTTGGGCTCGTGCCAACACACACCTGGTGTGTTTCTCAAGCTACTGGGTCCGAAACTCAAATCTGCAGTTGGCCATGTGGGACCCAGCCACCTCAACCACCAGACCATGGTTTAGTTCCAAGATTGTGACATTCTGGTTCCCATTTTTAGATAAGGAAAATAAGGCCGAAAGAGGAAGTGACTTGCCCAGGCTCATACAGAAAATGGATAGCCGGGGTCCGATCAAAATCTGACTGCAAGTCCTCTCCCATCCTGACCTCCCCAAAGAGAACAGCATGCCAACAAATACTTCAAACAAGGTCATCTCCACCTTCCAGTGTCCTGATTTCAACAGCACAGCCAGATTCCATGACAGAAGCTGCTGACGCCCACTCTCACAAACACTACCAGCTGACCCTGTCGTTCCCGTCCACTGGCACTGACTGCCGGAACGTCCCACCCCACAGCGACGCAGGTGCTCTGCTTCAAGGGCATGCTCAGCTGTGCCAGACCCGAGTGCAAAGTCCATTTTGTTCTGTTCGCTAACCTTTCGTATCAGAACTGATTTCCAGAGCCTACCTTCAATCCAGGTGACGCTTTCCTGTTGCTAAAATTATATAATTACATCAACCTGCCTGGCAGGAAGTCCAAAACCACCAGACAAGGGGACAGCTACTGTTATCATTACTGCTATTAATGATAATTACTAACAAGGCAAGCTCTTTAGCCTAGTGACTGAGGGCTGGATCCCACATGGCCAGCATGAAAAGCATTTGGGGTGTGTGTGCATGCATACCCCAAATCCCAAATTGACAGAGAAATGGAGGAGATGGGATTGTGGCATGACCTCACGCCACCTGGATGCTTTCTCCTCTCTCTCCGGGCTCCCTTTCTCTTTTTCTAGCAAGTACATGTGCTCTCTGGCAACTAAAATAGTAACAATAGGGGCCAGGTGGTTAAGGCGCTGGACTCCCACATGGCCAACCATGGTTGAGTCCTGGATCAAGAGGCTTGCTTTCTCACTTTCCTTTTCTCTCTCTCTGGTCAACAGGTATTTTGCAAATGAGAATACACACCAAAAAAATGATTAAACTCTTCGCTTTAAACGGGTGTATTTGGGACCAGCAGATGGCATAAATGTTATGTTGCTGGACTCCCACATAGTTGACCGTGGTTCAAGTCCTGGATCGGGTGCATAAACGCACACCTGGCACATGTGCAAGCATGCCCAAGATCTTGAGAGGAGAATGGAGGAGAAGGGGTTATGGTATGGCCATCCCCCCAGGGGGTGATTTCTCACTTTCTCTCTCTGTCTCTCCAGGTGAGCACAAGCGCCCTACAGCAAAAATCTCAAATAAATAAATAAAAATGGGTGTATTTTATGGTGTATGCATTATATCTCAATCAAAACACACACTCAAGCAAATAATAATCATTAAGTATTCCTCCCTGCTTGGCACTTTACATCCCTCATTTCATCTCAGCTTCATTAAGCAGATATTCTCCCCACTTCCCAGCTCAGGAAACTGAGGCATGACCTTAAGCAACTTGTCCCATTAACCTAGCTACCGAGTGGGGACTGGAACAGAGACCTGAGCCAGTGCTCAACTCTGCATGCCACACTCCACGCTCCCCACCAAAGGCCCAGGATGGTTACAGGAAGCTTATGGTAATCACAGCCGCGATGAAAGACAGACTGAAACACGAGCTGCTGACGTAGAGGCTAGACGTAGATCTGCGCTGCGGACAGAGGACTTCCATGAATGCACCTAATCTGGGAGCAAGTTCAAGAACATCTGAAAGACTCCTCCCAAGGCCATCTGAATAGCCTTCCTAAAAATAGTAAGGCAGCTAATATTTAATAGGAAATACATTCCTTCCAAGAGAACAGGAAAATTTCTGGAGAGTAAATGCATACTCAGCACAACTTCTAACTCATATTTTTACCGATTTTATGTTTAATCTTCACAATCCTCAGAGATAGGCATTATCAATCACTTTACTGAGAATCAGAAATAAAGTGACTCGGATTTAATTAAAAATCACCTTCCCTACCCGCAGACAGTTCAAGGAGGAATCAATGGCTTAAGTAACCCAGAAATTATTGCCGTCACCAACTCAGGACTCATTGAACCTTGCTGCAAGCATTTTCATGACTAAATTCAATCTGCCATTAAACCAGGCTGGTGACTTCTCGCCCAGGTCTCCATACCCCCAGTCCCTCCTGAAGATAAGGAGTGAGTTTAATCACTCTGGTACATTCAACAATACAAAAATTACACAACTTACTCCAAATTTTTACTTGATACCTGTAGGAAAGTAACAAATCTGCCATACCCTTAAGAGAAACTACCCTTTTTTTTTTTTTAAATGTTTTAGGTTCATACTAAGGCTGGATTATCAGTAAGATAATACTTTAACAATACTAATCTATTCTATCTAAATACTTGCCTAGTGGCAGAGAGTCATATTAATATATGAATCAGGTAAAATGGTTCCTATCTAGCTTAAAATGTTGTGGCCAAAATACGACTTTATCAAAAAGAATTACGTTTACCAGGCACTTCTGGTTGTCTTGAAGCCATGGAAAGAG